TGCTAAACAATAAAAGAAGCAGGTATTACGAAAAATTAGATTTGTTAATTAATATAATAATTTTTTATTTTTTTATATATTTTATCAATAAAAAATCATTAAAATAAAGGTCTAACTATACTGATTTAATGTTTAATTATCTTATCAATAAAAAAATAATTAATTTTATGCATTTATAATGAAATTTATAATTATTTCAATTATTATAATGTATAATTTTTATAATTTTAAAATATTATAATTTATTAATAATTATATTTAAATCAAGTTTAAATTAAATCAAGTTAAATATTTAACTCAACTTGAATTTAACATAACTCACAAATCATTAAATCAAAAAAATATAAATTTGACTTGATTTAAACTTGACTTAACTCATCTGACTCGTAAGTTAACTCAACTCATAAACTTTATATTTGATATCATATATATAACATAAAATTATAAGTTTATCATCTTTTAGAATTGCTGCTATTTTACATAATATTATAAAAGATCCAAATAATGGCACTATTGGTAATCATTCAATGCTTGCTTCATCATTTAATGTTTTAAATCTAAATTTATCTCTGAATGATTTAAAATTTATTTTAATGAATTCTTCATTATCTACTCTGCTGTAAGCAATACCAGTGGGAACCTTTCCACCACTTACACTCTTAATAAAAACAACAGAAGATTATAGATGACATTTTTTTTTTGACAACAATTTATTTTTCTTTATTTTTCTTAAGGGATTTTTATATAGGCGTTTTTTTATCTAAATAATTACTATTATTTCTATTACTTATTTTATTCGTGGGTCGTGGGATTTCATTAACTTAAACGAGACCAGGGCCATTGCCTTGCTTATAAATTAAACAGGATCACTCCGATACGCCAATAATCATTACCACAAAAGTTAAAAATTTTAGGCTAAAACTTAGCTAACAAATCAAACCGGTACACCAGTACAATCGCGAAAAATTACATGGAAAAAAATATTTTTGTTATATAAAGAACCTTCGTACGAGAAAAAAAATGTGGGGTGATTTTAGTAGCATAGCAATAGAAGTTTAACAATAGCCATAGAGACAGAATATTTCTCGTACGACAGTAAAAAGCCATCAAAGGCTAATATATTTATTATATTTTTTATATTATTTGATAAAAGGGGAAAACTAACCAAACTAAGGAAAAGATAAGTAAAATCGTCAAAAAAAAATACGAATTTTAGTAAACGGCAAATTTTCGATTTTTTCTTTCGCTAAAGATTGCACTAACATTCATAGAATCACATGATCTTTATATTAGAGTCGATTTTCCGGCAAACTTGCAAAAGGCTTACCAAACCAGAAACAAGTTATAATTTTTATTTCTTTATGGTAATACAGATAAGCCATATAACAGCAGATGTTAGATTTGTTCGAGAAAGTTAACATTCGGTTGAATAGTTGGCACACTACACGTGAAAAATGTTATGGAGAGATCATTGATCGACAAATGTAATTGGCTAAAATGAATATGACCTGACTAATTGTGGTCCCACAAATTGTTCTTCGCGCCCTATAACAGCCTAAATTGACGGGATATTCCCTTTTTTTGTTAGTTAAAAAATGAAATTCCCATCCAAAATACAATAAATAACCAAAGTATTCGATAAAAAAATAAAAAATTTTTGTAATACAATACCCAACCATTAAAAAAAAAAATAATTTCCAAATATGATTTCTAATATGAAAGACCAAAAACAACAACGTAGTAATACACTTTCTTCAAGATCAAGACGTCGATTATCTTATGATCGGAATCAATATAACAGAGAAATGTTTAATAAAGCGTACACTTTACCAGCTCCTGTTATTTCGACTGATCCAATGACGAAAACGGAATTAACCCAATCTAATTCTATCTCGGCTTCGTTTCATTATTTTGACGAACCTTTCTCTTACACTGGCCTCTCTAGTCCAAAATTAAGTCCTATCCGTTCAAATTCAAGATCAAAAAATGATCAGAAAAATAAGGATTTTGGTAAAGAAATTACGGATAATTTCTTGTTCAAGGATAGTTGGCCACAAGAAATTGAGAGAGTTATACATTATGAAAAAGTAGAATTAAGAAAAATTCCGAATAATATATAAAATTATGAAATTAGGAAATATCAATTCTTGTCATGTTTATTTATAGTTATATATTATTATTATGTTTCATGTCTTTATGTAAATAAATAAAAATGCTTAGTGTAAGCGCAAAACATTTTTTTTTTATTGATATAATAAATGATTATAATTCTCCCTTCTACGGGAGAGATAATTCGCCATTGATTCAACCCTTAATGTTAAGTTTAATTATTCGTCAATTTAGTTTAGTCGAGAATTTCAATAAAAGACAATTTACTATTAATAAATCCGGAAATCCTAATCCATTATCACTTGAAAATGCGGAAGACAAGGTTTGATATCTCTTTTTTGGATCATGTTATAGTCATTATTTCCACGTTGTGGTTCTTTTGTTGTTGTTTTGACTTCTACTTGAACAATTGTTTCAATTTGTAGAGTGTTACGATTGTAAATCACATAACATAGTAATAATGCACAATATGACATCTGGGAAGTGCCCGGTCTTCAGGTGATTTGCGGTGGATTTTTCTTCTTTTGGTTCTTTTGGTGATGGCGGGGTTTTTTCTTCTGGTTTTCGTGGTTTCTCACCATCTCTGCTACCAATTTGATCCTTTAATTCATAAGTTTGAGAGATAATAGTACATATTGCCACAAATACTAGAATAGGTAACTTAACATGGAGCAGATTTCTAAAAATTTTTTTTTTAAGAGGATGATTCGTAAATATGTTTCAAAAACAACTAAGGAAATTGAAAAAAAGTTTTTTCACCTAAATCGAGATTGAGTGTCACCTATATTAGGAAATTCGATTAATTAAAGATTACAAATTAACGATTATCTTTCCAGATCAAAAATAATGGGTAGCATTTACATATTGGATCCCCCATGATATTGATATTTTTATTTGCCCACCTTTAAATATTGCCTAAAGTGTCTTTAAATTATAAATTACTTCGTCGATCGCGTAAATTTATTATCAGGTCCAACTCGGATCATCCGAAGTTTTATTTCGAAGTTTCTTGTTATTGATAATCACGTTTTTAATGCATTTGAATTAGAATATCATTTTTCCACCTTTCCAAAAAAGTTATCAAATTTTCTTTTGAATACAATGTTTGCGCGTCATGTGTCGATCACTATTGTTGAATTATGATCAACATGAAAAATTTACCCTTTAGTTTTCTAGCAAATGGTGTGCTTCCAAATTTTTTATTTGGTTGTGCATAGTCATACTTCGAAACATATTACTGAGATTCAGCACCAACCATTTCAATAAAATAAAATATTATTGATACGCACTAGCGAAATGACGATACAGCGTGAATTTTTTTTTAAAAAAAAAAAAACCAATTCCTATCGCGTGTGATCTATCACCAATTATCTTAACGTAAAAAAACCGCGCGTAAGAACGTTGAGATATACATAAATCATCAAATTTGCACAAGAATCTTAAAAGAGAATTATAATGTCTATATTATATAAATGATATTGAATAATTACCTGTTATCTCGTTAATCTAATTCTTATTAAATAGTTGGAGTTTCAAACGAAATTTATAACAATCTACAATATGATGTGACACATAGAAAAGGCATGTCAAACATTCCAAAAGAAATGTAAGTAATGTATGTTTATCCGAGCAAAAGAAATTTTTAGGTTTATTATTTGATAAAATTTCACGTGTCATAATGAATGCGTACATAAGTAGATTCAATCGTATGCATTGACGAAACTATAAAGTACGTATTAATTTTTTAGAGCGCGATTTTTTTACTGCATCAAAATATACAATATACAGTACATTTGATTATGTGATAACACGTTCGAATTTACAAAGTCGGTTTCTGATTCTTTCTCGATTTTGATAGTACAAACAACATTCGTGCTTATGTTATCTTTTTTGAGATCTTTTCTATTAAAAGTTCATATGCTTAAGTGGCTTAATCGGCGTGAAAATTGCTTTTAAAATAGCATTTAGAAATTTACGCCATTATTACTTATTAAATTTCGTGCAACCAAAAAAAAAACGAGTATGTAAATTCAGGGGCATTCATGTGATTTTTTTTTAAAATTCAGGTATATAATGTGGTCCATGCGTATTTATTTATAATTACTCGTCGAAGAATGTACAATACCGATCGTTTTGTACCGTTTGATCAGTGCGTTTTTGTTTATTTTATTTTCATATAATTGCAACCGTAAGATTCTGCCAAGCAAATTTGTGCATATTATCAAATGTAACAAAATAGATTTTTTTTTTTTCACAAATTTGTTTGCATTGTGGTTACCGGTCATTTGATGGAATGTCAACAAATGACATGTGACTCACTTTCTACGTGCATGAATAGAACGCACGAGTAAATGCATTTCATTTCCGTCATTAACATTAGGAAGGGTTAAAAGTAGAAATTTGAAGGAGGATGAACACGCGAAGATTTGTCAATTGCATAATTATACAAATCGCGTTAAAGTGCTGAGATTGTTAAAATTCATAAAATTGCTAGATTGAGTTGATTGTAATTTATTTGGAAAGATTTGTTGCATAATTACAATTTTTTTTTGTATCACTCAACGGGGAACAAACAAAATGTCCCTTTTAGGATGAAACATCAAAAAAAAAAAATTTTTTTTTTCCCCTGAACGTTCAATTAAATTATCCAAAAACGTGAATTTGACAGATTTGCCTAAAGTTTCTAGTCAATCTAGTTATTAATTACAAAAAAAAAAAATTTAATTTTTTTTTTCCTTAAACGTAACTTTATTAAGTTTCATTCAATTATTAATCACGATGTTATTATGATTAAACCTTATTTCTGAATCCCTCATTGGAACTAATCATCGCTAAAAGATCTGATCGTTTTTTTTTTTTTTTTTTCGAACCCATCGATTAATATTTTTTGAGCGTTGATCTTTACCGAGTCCAGTTAGGATAACATAATGGAAGATAATAGAAAAAATTTAAATCAAACTCTAATTCGGAATAAAAATTATTGGTAGAAATTTTCCCTAATATTCGCTAAAACGAGTAAAAATATTCCGCATATTTATTTCAGAATTAATAATTTACTTTTTTCATAATTAACAAGTTGTAATGTGTGGAAAGCACATGAATACATACATTACCTTCAAAAAAAAAAAAAAAAATCCCAAGATAATTTAATTCCAAGTGAAAGAGAAAAAAAAAACGAAAGAAGGCATTTAATTTTTACACGTGGGCTCGATGATTACTTATATAAACTGCGCCATATTGCAGGATCGTATCTCAAATGTCCAACCGGAGAAGGAGTACGTGTGATTTTCAAATTACTTTTTTTTTTCTTTTTTCTTTAATTGCCATTTAGCAAAAAAAAGGAAGGTTGCCAGATTATATTAATTTGATCGACTTAAATGATGTCCTTATCAAGTTCAACAACGATAAAAATTACCCCAAACAATTTATTCGTGTAACGGAATTTAAAGTTCATGTTTATTTAACGAATTTTTTTAAAGAAATAAAAATGAAGATGATAATAATAAAAAAAAAAAAATATTGATGAAAACGGGAACTCTCTCTGCGCGTGTTAAAAAGCGTGTTAAAAAGAAAAATAGTAATTTACATAATAATCATAGTTCATATTACAAGATTTGCGAGTTTCAAATATATATCGACGAGAAAATTAAACGAAATAAATAGAAGTTATACGTTTCGATTCAATAAAAAGGAAAATAAAAGAAAAACTAAGCTTATTAAATTTTTTGAATTTTAAATAATGTTTTTTGATATAATGATCGGATCTTAAAAATATTTTAACGTATTTTGGTATCAATGCACTTGTATACAATAAAATCGAAAATGAATGAATTTTAGTTGGTGATGAAGAAAAAGAGTTTATGTCTCATAAATAAAATGTATTGGTATTGGTAATGGTATATCGAGATGCCATTTAGAATAAGCATTATGATAACGGTCTATATGATTAGGTCGACGGCGAATTCTGAAGGATGCAATCGTTCGTTACAAAAACATCAATAAGGTTCCATGTACAAGAATTAGGAGGAAAAAAAAATCGACTCACTTACTGCTTATTTATTCTTCTATATATATGATCTTGTTAAGAAATATAAATATCTTATATAATCGATTACCGACAATAGATAGATATATTTGTTCCAGTCGATTGGGAACATACGAAACAACTAAAAATATTTAATCGAGAGAAAACATCCTTTCCGATTAAAGGATAATGCATTGAGTTTCGCTGGTAGAATTCAATCTAAAAGAAAGAAAACAAATGAATTTTCCCTTTAAAATGAAAAAAAATAGTTTTGATAACATTGGAAAGGTTGACACTTACAATATTTTAGTGGAAAAAAAAAATTATGAATTAAAAGGAATGAAAAGCGAAATCAAAAAAAATCATTTTTCTAGATTAAAGGTCAAAGAAGAAAAATTGATAACGCGCTCCATTTGTGCCGCTTGTGCTGTAAATATATACAAATTTTCGTGTCATGCGTTTAAATCAAATGAGCTTGGCTGATTCGATAAACTAATCAAATTTGTAATAATTCGTTTAATTTTACCATAATCGAGTAAGATCAGGATTTATTTGCTATATTTCAAGAATTCGATTGACAGAGATATTATGTAAAAAAAAAAAATAAAATAAAAAACGTAAAAATAATTAATTAAAACAAATAATACTGATCATAACTAAATTCGGGATGTAAGGTAGAAAGAAAAAAAAAAAAAAATACCTGCAGATTGTGCTGTTATGCACTGTGCAAATTTAATTTGGGAAATTGTGTAATGATAATATAAATATTTAATATAACCTTCGCTTAATTTCTTTTGATCCAATTTTCAAATGTAACAAGTTGGCGTCTCCACTTCCGAATATGAATCCCATTTAACTATATTGACAGTGTAAAAACCATGTGACCAATTCATTAGTCATCAATTCAAATAGAACATTATACATTGTTAAAATAAAACAATATTACGTTACGAAAGATTCTCCACATTCTGGTCCGTGGTTATTTGTTTGTATAATTTATCAAAGTATTATTAAGGAATGTGTAATGTTTATAGTATATATAAAAAAAAAATTCTTGTAATATATTTAATTTTTTTTTTTCAAATGGCAAAAAAATTCAAGGATAATTTTAATCATTTGAAAAGTGAAGTATATGCTTAAAATAACTGTTAGTTTAAATTAAAAATAAATCGGTATTCGAATATTTTTTTTTTAGAAACGCCAATATTTTTTTTTTAAAATATGGAAATATCCGAATCAATCAGGGAAAGATTTTCAGCTCATGACCTGTTGTGTGAGAAATAATTTTTGATTTTGTCAGTTTCATCTTTAAAACCTGAATATTCTTTGACTTAAATACTTAATATGGGAAAATGGCTGATGCACAGACTTTGTCAAAAGCGAACATTCCCTCGCTATTATTATGAATGAAGAATGCTTAAAACTATATATAACATACCGTATGCATTTACGCAATTAATCGACTTCTCGTTTGACAATCTATATTTTCGCCCAAGTTTCTCGTTTGAAGTTCCTTAATTCCCTTTCAATCAGTATAAACCTTATATACCTTTCATATGCTGAGACCAGAGGGTTACAAGATGCCATTTTGCTCCGCAAAATTTCCGCTAAATTTTGGGTTAAAGACGTTTTTGCTTTACGTTTGCTGTGTACGTGATGCTAGACACATCCTGGTGTATTTCGATGAAGGGGCATCCTAATCGGTATCTGTTCAAACGATAACGGTGGAGGTACCCAGATCAATTGACTTGTTAATCTCGTCCAATAACCATCATTTGTTTCACGTGTTAATTTTTAAAAATGTTCGTTTTTCAAACGAAAAAAAGTTTCTATTAATAACTTCCCTATTTGCT